GGGGCACCCCCGCGGCGGGGGTCCGGGGGTCAAACCCCTACCCCGGCTTTGCCCTCGGGGGCCCCTGCGTGACAACCCTGGTCCGAAGCACACCAAGAGACAACTCATAGTACGTTATGAGTCGCCGCCGTCATCTAGGGGTGCAGGGACAGGGGGAGCGCACAGAGGAGACGCAGTCCAAGAGATGGGCACCGGAGATGTGGCCGACGGTGTTGCTTCTGGGTTGGGTGGGGCATGGTCGCTAGGGGACATTGGGATGCTTGGCGATCTGCCTAGTGGTAGCACATGTCACGTGGAGCAGTTTGATGATGCCCATCATGAGGGGGCACCACACGATCAGGCTGGACTTGGGGACTATGCTATGGAATCAGCGTCCATGCGCGATTTCATGGCCGAGCTAGAGACCACTCTGCCAGCCATGACGGAGGGTGAGTCTATTGTTGCCCGACAGGCCGACGACAAGGACGTTCGGCCTCAGCCACAGGCAGTTTGCTTGGGAGAGCGTGCACCCGACACCGAGGAGGACCGCATGGCTCGAGAGGCGAGGGAGGATGAGGAGGAGGCCGCAAGGACTAAGGCCCTGACCGATGCTGACCCGCGCACACAGACCATGGCACGTGACATGGAGGCTATGCGTCAGCTAGAGACTGGGGGAGCAGGAGTGCGAGGCTATGCTGCGGAGGATGAGCAGATGGAGGCAGTTCGCATGGGAGAGCCTGCACCCGACACCGAGGAGAACCGCATGGCTCGAGAGGCGAGGGAGGATGAGGAGGAGGCCGCAAGGGCTAAGGCCCTGGCCGATGCTGACCCTGAGTTGGTCGAGGAGGCAGCTGCCCACGCTTCACATGCGGTTCGAGAGAGAGAGGGCGAGACAGCAGGGCCCGATATCGACAACGCACCCATCGTCTCGATACCACGAGACGGAGTGGCGGACACTGTTGCAGTGGCACACGACGGAGAGGCGCGTGGCGAGATCGAGATTAACTCCACCGTGCAAGAGGCCGATGCTGTTCAACCGGTGGCCGCACAGATGGTGGATTGTGGAGATAAGACTCAGTTGAGAGATCCAAGAGAGGTATATGCGGGAGACGTGGGGGATGAAGAGGCAGTTCGGAGTCCAGTGGCGGTGGGGGGAGACGTACAGACAGGAGAGGATGCATATGAGAAGGTACATGGAGATGTGTGTGCGCCCTCGACTATACCTGCTTCAGGCGTGGAGGAGGGAGCAGGTATCATGGCGCCACCGCCCGTTCAGGAGGATGCACCGATGACCACACATCACCGGCGTTGTCGTCGCCCGCCTGGTCCTAGGACGCAATGCGCTCGTTACGTAGAGCAGCCACGAGGCAGTTTGATGTTCGACGCAATGACTGTTGATGAGTTGGGTGTCTGCCTTGCGATGGATCTCACAGAGACGAGACATGGAGTGAGGATCGGCTCAAAGAAAGGCATAACACTTCTACCACGCGTGCAGTCCGTTTCATGGGGCCCTGCTAGCCCGACACCGCCATCAGACGCTTCGGTGGTGGTGGGTGCCATGGGGGTTGGTGCGACACAATCCCCTCCCAGTGTGGTACGAGATCGCGGGAGACGACCGTCTGCACCAACCTCAGCGGCGGGCAGGCCTCGAGAGCGTCGAGAGGCCACAACGAGGGTCGTAGCTTCTTTACTCGGGCGCACTGACGTGCTGTGGAGCAACACAAGGAGGTCGACGACGGCTACCAGGAAGAGGCAACCTGGGTTGGGGAGGCGACGCACGTCCACGTCATCGACGAGGGAGGTGCATGCCGCTGGGTTCGAGCATCGTGGCGGGTTGGGTGCTGATGTTGGGGATGCCGACGAACGTGGATTTGCAGCGCCTGGAGCACGAGTATCGACTCACGGATGGAGGGAGGTTTCACAGATCCTCGGGGCAGATGTGTTGGGGCCTCCCAGGACACAGAGACCGATACCTCGACGAGCATCACACCGGGAGGGTGAGACGACCGGAGGCGAGGGGTTGGAGATGACGTGAGTCAGACGTCTCATGGACACCCTTATATTGGCGTCACGGAGGGAGATTAGACGGGATGGCGTCACGGTGGTTGACGACGATCGCACCGATGCCGATGCAGAAGAGGTTGACTGAGAGGATGACCTTTAGATACTCGAGGCACGTAGGACGACATTGGAGGGTGGTGAGCGGCGGACCACCAGCCCACCCACACGCGCTGGACGTTATTGACTTTTTTGTGTTTGTTAGTGATCAGCGGCGTGACCGCATCATGTAGTTTTGACACGTCTCTTTACCGTGTGTCGCAGTAGCATGTTATTTTCTCGTTATTAGGCCGTGCGTTTTTTTCTTCTTTTATGTAGATGGTTCATTGTGAAACCGAATGCAGAAGTATCCACCTTGGGTGGAATGGGAGCTATGAAACCGTATGACCGCGCATAAGCGCGAGAGCGCGTGCTTAAGCGCGC